CTTCATATCCTCATTTGTCCAGGGGCGGAACACCAGTGCTGGACCTGCTTGTCCTGCGACCTCTATCATGGGGAGGGTTAGATCACTGGTCTTCTGAGTTAATGCTGCTAGCTTTGCTTCCAGAGCCTCTTTTTCCTCCTGTATCTCAGCCAGTTTCTGTGTAGTCTTCAGCGCCACAGCCTCAGAGCTGTGGAACCCTGTCCTTGAGCGAGGGATGGAGGAGCAGGAGGCTTTTGTTGCGCCGTGCTTTTCTTGTCTTTTCCTGAGTTCCATCTTTGTAGCAGCCTCTCTTTTCACCTTTCTCGGCTGTGGCTGTGGTGGAACTTGCTCTGCTGGGTCGGTGCTCATAGGAGATGATGTCTGAGGCCCGATATCAGCAGCTGTGTCGTCATCAGATTCCGTGTCCGGGATCTCTTCGGCGTCCAGGGGCCAGAGCGTCTTCATATTGTTCCCTCAGCCCATGCAGAGAGGGGTAAATGGAAGGAAAAACACGTTTAGTATCCTTATCAACAGCTTTTAAATCATTTTTTTCATCCTTATCAGTAGGCTTCTTTTCCCTTTTATTTGTATAGGGAGGAGGGCTATTGTTATACATACACATTTCTGCGCTCAAAGCTTTTCTTTCTCTCCTGATAGCCTCTTCCTCCCATGCTAGTAAACACTTTTTATGATGTTCTATTTYATTCAAATCAGAAACCTTAATAGTTTTTCTTGATTTAAGTTTTGATTCATGTTGTAGTATCCGGTCCCGGAGGTGGGTCAGCTGCCTGGKGCTAAAAGTCCCCCCCTCCGGGAATCCGAACTGGTCAGACCACACGCGCAGACAGGAAATGGCCTCATCGCCATACATTTTAACCATTGCTTTAGCTCAAGGGCTGTCCAGCGCTCCAGGGGGCTGAGTGACGGACGAACCCTGTCCCATCACATTCAACTTGTGCTTACCAAATGCACTAAATATAACTTCTTGTAAAAACTGGAAATTCGGCGGCCGCCTTTAAACTAACTTTCTAGCCTACCCTGTTTTACTCCGAAAACAGCAACGTGGAGAAACCGACTTTCTCCCAAACAGCTAGCCCTGGCTAAACTGCCTACTCTAACCAGGTTCAAGCTAAACTCTCTCCTGGCTAGCAAAACAGTGAAATTAAAACCTCCCTGTTTTAAGACTCAGTCCCGAATATATGCTCCTGGACCTACCTCGGCTAAGAAAATCAGTCAGCCCCTTAGAGCACACAGAACAGGCACCTGATAACTAGATTCTTAGTTATTTTTTTAGTTATTTAGTTATTTATTTATTTTCGACAGCGTAAAGAAATGTAGCTCACCGTGTTTTCCTCCAGACAGGTTCTTTTCATCAGCTCCGGTCCCGAGAGCAGCACACAGCGGCCGAAGAGCAGCGTGGACCCCTTGCAGCAGAGGAAAATGGAGGAGAGAGGAGAGAGAGAGAGCGAGAGAAAAAAAAACTCCGTCTTGCACTCGTGGTCCAGCTGATGCTACGGCCACAGCGAGCGGCTCCCGACCCCGGAAGCTGCCAGTAGACAACGCCAAATCTGTCGCAGCAAAAACGGACAGAAAACACGTTGAAAGGATGTTAAAAAGACAAAAAGTCTTGCGAGTATGGTCGTAGAATTATTTATTAGTGTGGGCAACATTAAACAGAAAACAATCAGAGA